AGGAGCCACCTCACGGCTCAACTAGACAACTATCTTTCCATCAAGTCTGCCTCTTTAGAGAGGTAACACAACACAGGTGAAGTCAAAGAGTATAACTATACTCTTTGGGTGAAGTGTTAACAGATGGCTGTACTTTTTTCCCCTGTTATTGTTTTTTAAATGCATATCTATGGAAACGACTTGTAGTCATAACTTGACCAGTTGGGTTAGGTTAAAGGTGAAACATCGTCACCTCACATTGCTACTGGTATCATTGTTAAAGGAAGGAAAACAAACAAATGGAAAGGGTAAAAGGGCAACAAAACCTGTGAGAAATAGTTTTACCAACCAATTGTATTAGAAGGAATAATTGTGTAAATTTAATTTAAAGCTAAAACAAAAGCAGCAAACAAATGGCATCAAATGAAAAGACAAAAAAACTAGACAAAAGTTCTTGGCGACAACGATAATAATGGAGATAAAATATAAATATAAAGTGAAAAAAATCAAGTAAACGATAACAATTGATGCAATTGGTTATTGTCTTGTCAACTTACTGATTAAAGTAAAGACAAAAGAAACGGGAAAAGAAAGAGAAGAAGACGATAAAGATGATGAAGATGAAGAAAAATTTGAAGGTCAATTAAAAGGAAGATGCTAAATGGAAGACAAAGAGACTCTTTTTTTGTGCTCATCATTAGGTTGATCCTTGAAACTTGACTGGGTGTGGATTCCCTGGAAACCTAACGAACCTTTTGGTAACATTTATTATTCTGGACTAACCATACAGAACGGAATGGATTCGTAGTTATTGCTATACATTTATCTGAATGAAAGATGAGGAATGATGAGATATTATATTGCGTGTGTGTTCGTGGGACTCTTCAATTTTATGAGTGAACAGTAAAGAAGAAAGAAGGCAAAGTTTGAACATGAGATGAACAATCAATGAAAATGTTGAAAGGAAACGAAAATATTACTTTGAGTTACAAATTTCAAGAAAACAATTTTGAGCCAATGGATGAAACAAAATACTCAAGTTTAGGTGATGAAGATGGGCTGATCAGGGGAAGATGAAAGTTGACAAACAGTAATGTCCTTGATAATAGTCAGTCTAATAATGATTAACTTTAAATTTGTAATTTCCTATTTTCTCAATTATATTACAGCTAAAGCTTTGCTCATCTTCATCATCGTCAGCATCATAGAGACAGAAACTGGATAAAAGTGAAAACAGATGAAGCGACTTTTCAATGATGATTTGTCTTCTTCTTCATCTTTATTGAACAACAAAAGTAAGTCTTTGTAAGACTAGTTTTACCGGACATTTTCTTCTCTCTCTTTTCTTCTTTCATCTTTCTTCTCTTCATACGCCCATCATTTCTTCTTCTTCTTCATTTCCATGTTTTTCCTGATGATTCAACGATGATAACCACACCATAATCATCTTACCTCAAAAGCTAAACCAAGGTTTTCACTTGAAGAGTTAATCAGATCCAATGCAATCCAACTCGAATAACATTTTAACGTTTAACTTTCAGCTAAATTGTTTATTAATAGTAAAACAATGTTTGGTTTAAATCAATTGTTGACTAAATTATGATTCTGGTGAAAGATGATTCTCATGATTGTCAGAATGCAATTTTCAACATGATTTTAGAAGCAATTTTTCCCCCAAAATTTCATTCTCATAAATAATTTGCTTTCAAGAGAAACCCAATTTTTTCATTTCAAAACTGTTCAATTTACACGTTCAAAACTAATTAACATTGAATTTGAATATAAAATGGTGAAAATGATTAAATTGTAAAATTGGAAACTAATTTGCAGGGAAATGCAGAAACGTTTGAAATTTCAATTCCTTAATTTAGGTGACAATTGAAGAGAAACTTTGAACCGGAAAACTGAATTATGGTGTTAATATTGCTGATGAAGATGAAAATTGCAATCTAATTGTAATAATCTTTTGCTTCGTTTTTTTTGCTGTGACTTTACCAGAAAGTGCAAAAAATAGCAAAAATAGGTTTACCATGAACGATGAGAATGAAACATTTTTCAGCTTTTAGTTCTTCTTTAATCTTCCTTTTCTTCTGTCATTTTTATCCATTTCAAATCTTTCAAGCTTCTCATCCTCATCCTAATCAACTCCTCCTTTCAGTGTAAGTTAATTGTCACTGAAAAAAAAGAGAATCTAAATTGAACAATAAGTTTCATTGATTAAAGTTGCGGTTTCAAGTGAAACTTTATTTTTGTAAAAATGTTAACCTCCGCTCTTTGAGTCTCTTTTACTTCATCTAACCTACACAATTACATTTAATCAAGTTAATTGATTAATCCAAATCAGATTAGTATTTTTGTTTTTCCAACTCATCACAATTAACAATTGATTGTCATCATTTTCATTTCTATCTTTTTGTTCATTTTTCTTGAAATTTTTTCCCTTTTTTTCTTACACTTAACTTACATTCTGGAAAATGATGTTGGCGAGGCAAGAAATTATGGTCAATTACAATCAATGAAATTGATTATTAGTTGATTGTAACAGGTTTGTAACAATTGATTGAAACCAATTCAACTAGAAAGTTATTTGCTGTTGGTAATGTTTTTCAAAAAAGTGATCAATTGTCATCCATTTTTGGCTAGAAACTTGTTTGCTTTTTGTTTTTACCCAAAATTTTGGATCAAATGAACAATCAACTTTCCAGTGTAAATTGTTAATATTAAGGTTGTTCAGTTTAGGAATTGTTGCAATTAAATTGCTCATTCATCGAGATAAACCTTAATATGTTATTTTGATTAATTGAACTTGAAGGTATCTAAAAGAGTGTTAATTGTCTTCTGTCAATTTGTATTGACAATAAGTTGAATAGCAAACCAGAAAACAACAGCTTTTTCACTTGACAAGTTGAAACAAGTTGCTTTTGTTGCAATTAAAGGTAGAGAAAAATAATTGTTGGTATTAATCAAGATTAATATGTATTTGTGTGTATGCAGATATTAAGTTAATTGTATCAAGTTACAAACAATTAATGGGTTGTTAATGGATACTAACAAAGGTAAAGAGAGAAAAGGTTTGCCTTTTTGGTTTCTTGGTTTACGCTGTGAGAATCTGGTTTTGGGTTAACCTTTCGGTTAACTATGACTAAATGTGAAAATGTAAAATATGTGAAACCAATCCTATTAATAATGAAACCAAATATGATTACAATTAACTCTCTTCATCTATCAGGTATCAAAATGGTGTATTAATTTAATGAACCATGAATTAAAAAACATGAACCAATCAATTGTGTGGTTAACAAAATTTGACAACAAATCAAACGTTGAATGTTTCCGGGAAAAAACAAGAGATGGCAATGGAGAGAAAAGGAAGAGACCAAAGGATTGTTTCAATGATAATCAGTGATGAACAATCATGCAAATGACAAGGTTACAGATTCCTGTTGTGATCATGAAAAGCAACACCAGAAACCATCAAAACAAATGAAAAGGAAAACAAATGAATGGCAAAAAAGCAACACAACAACAACCAATCGACAAATGATTAGTGATTAAATCTGATTTAAGCCTTTTTTTCTGGTTGACCTTAACTGTTGACTATCTTTTTTTGATTGGTTTGATTGATTTGGATCAATTTAGGAATCACCTTGAGGCGGTTGTCTAATTGTTTATTTGAGGATGAAATTGGGTAAAAATGTTGATTATTGGTTAAAACAAATAATCCTAATCATCATCATCTGGTTGCCTTTATAATTGCATTACTATTGATAGGATGAAACCTTTACTTGTTTAATAGCTCATCAATCAAAATGGTTGATTAGGCTTAATCAGTTGAAAGAATACAAGTTTCCGTTTCTAATTGTGAACAATTACAAACAAACAAATATCAACGGTAATAATTGATGTTTTTTTTATATTAAACATTGAAATTAACTTTTTCCATTAATGTTAATAATCATTTCTTTGTGAGTATCAAAATCAAAGTTGCTCATTTAAATACTTAACAAGATTTGGCTGCAAGATCAATTGTAAAATGTAACTAAATGTAACTTTAACAGCTTGATTATGAGGCTAACAATCAAAACAACATCCTACAATTTACTGTTTTTCATCAACTCTTCAAACTTGCAAATTCCAATTCCAACTAAACATTATCATTTCATTTTTTTTTCTTGGCTCCTCTCAGATTCAATGGTTACATTTCTTGAATTATTCAGTTGCTTATCGTAATCATCATCATTGTAATCAACATAATCATCATCATCTTTTTACTCTTCAAATTCTTGCAGTTGCTTCTTTTTCTGTTCATCTTTTTCACCATTCTATTCCATGACAAATGCTGATGTTATCATAGGAAGATGATGATGATTAACTAAACAGTCTCCTCCTTAAACTCCTCCTGATTGCGATGAGATTCATCAAGATGAACATTATCATTCAATTTAATCATCACTTTATTCAGCTTAAGCAGGTTTTACGGTTCTCCTGCCATCTATCTTTGTCTCAACTTACTTTGCTTGTCACATGTTTTGTTAACAATTGAAATGCTTTTTTCCTTCTCTTTTGGTTAACTTATTTTAATTTTGTTTTTAAATTATCATCTTAAATCATCCTAATTAGTATTATCTTCATCATTAAAGTCTATCTTTAGCTAACTGTTTTACAACCATTTTGTCATCTGGAATGTTTAACTTGGATATTTTAAAGTATGGTTTACTTGAAATGTCTTTTTGTTTCTTTTTAGCTACACTTTTCTCTTAAACATTATCTTTGATTTAACAAATTGTCAGCCGGTTTTATTAATCATCGATACATTCCAAGATGCTTCCAACTGTTCATGTTTACTCACTGTGTACATAATGAACATGAAATTAATATTTAAAGCGTCTCATTTGCGAAATGAAATGCTTATTAATGTGTGTAAACTTTTTTTCTATATGAATCTCTGGGTAAAGGGATGATTACCAGAAAATGAAGCCAATTTCAATGCAAAGGATATGAAAATTTTAAGCACTTCACAGTTATTACATTGCTCATTTCAAATGCATAACTTTTGAGTCCATAATTTGTTGATGAATAACCAGTTATGGTGATATTTTGTCATATTTTTTCTGGTTCTTTTCCCATTTTCCCGTTGCTGCTGCAAGAGGCAATAGCTTTTCGCTTTTCCTTTTCACCAATTTCAACTATTGATTTAATTAGACAACTATAAAATCGTCAGTCCCATTCAAATTATGTTAATTATTTATGAAATTATTTCACTTTAATTGATTTATTGTCCGTTGCAATATAATTACATTTAATTTTCTTCGCTCATGAAATTGTAAATTACATTGAATGAATGAACCTTTTTAAAAATGAAAAGCAAACCTAGAAAAGGCTTTCTTCAAATTACAATCAATTTGTGGTTACATTTTTTGTCTCGGCAGTTTTAATGTTCAAATTTAGTTAATTAATTGATACAATTCCATTAAATCTAATTCAGTGTAATCGAATTTCTGCTTGTTTTTATATTAAAGGTTAGGAAAACCATTAAAGAAATGCTAAGAAATGGACAGAAATGTACGAACAAAAGGAAATTTCGTTTTTCTCTAGTCACTACATTAAATTGATTATGCTAACTATTAACATGGTAACTGTCGATATTAAAGTGGCCAAGTAGTTAATTTGTAAGTTGTCCGAACCATTACACAGCTCAGCGCGACATGAACATTCCACTTTTGAGATTCCCAATGAACCAGATTTTTTGTGACATCCAGGTACTTCAGAGGCAGCTTTATAGTAACCACAGGAGCGATGAATCCTTTGCTCGCCATCAACTGAAAAGCAACAATATTTAGACTAAATGATTAAACAAACTCATGATTAGCAAAACTGTAAACATTGTCAATCAACGGAATCCATCAAAGTTGCTAAACATTCAATATTGATTAACCAAACAAACGCCAACTTGTTAACTTTCATCTTAAGTGATCTTGTAAAGCAAAGTTGTTTGAAAAGGTGTAAACAAGCTGTCAATACAAGCAGCTTTGAGTAAATTAAATCATCATTTCACTGAATTTCTTGAATGGATAACCTTCATTATAAACATTTTTCATGTGCTTTACTTACCATTTTGAAAAATCTCTTAATTAATTACCAACTAAATCAACATGCAAGTCAAGCTATATTGAATTTCACTTGTAACTTGACTAAAAGTCTCATTTTCCTCTCAGTTTTCATATCGATTTCATTAAGCTTTCAGAAATTGATTAAACACTGAATAAATTAACCATTTGTTGTGTCGATGAAATGAAAATTTAACCTGAAAAGGAATTGAATTTCAATTGAATTACAACCATTGTAAATAACTCAATCAAAATAGTCTTTTCATTTCCTCTTTTCACTGCCTTTCTTTAATACAGTTAACACACACACACACCTAAAGGGTTTCAATGTGAAATCATAATGACAACAATTAATGATCATAAAAACATTAAGATTAATCCAATCCAATTTATCTGTGAAGGTTAAACTAAATGAAGGTTATCCTTTGATTGTACCAAAGCAACCAGTTATTAGTTAATTGCAATTGTAATAAAATGAAAACAAAAAACTGGGTAAACCTAAAGTTGCCATTTCTTAACAATCTTAATGGCCAAGTGAATCAGTTAAATAGTCAAGTCAATTGTTTGATAAAGAATAAATTGATGGACATTAATGTTTAACCGTTAATTAACAATTGATTATTGTCAATACAAACCAGTTTGAACAACTTTACGACATATTGAAGCCCAACCTAAACCAGGGACTCGATCGACACCCGCTGAAAGGCTGTTATTGGCTTCGACAATAGTCTTAATCATTTGATCACAATCCTTTAAATATTTATCTCTTTCTGGTCCAACATCAGGCGGAATGAATGGTGTTGTACAATAAGGATCAACAATTGAATTACAGGTATAGCACCTGAGACTGTAAACTATCGAGAAAAGGGAGAGAAAAACAATTGAAATGAGAAAAGATTTGGTTACAGTTAAAGTTAACCATAAAAATTGATGAGTGCGAAATTGTTTGTTCAATTGATTATTTAAATAGACAATTAAACGGTTCAAAAATGTTTACCCAACATTTACCCAATAAGAAGAGGAATAACCAGAAAACCAATAAATCAAAATACAGGTTAAGTTGTAATAAATAAGAAACTAGAAGACAATTGATCCTATCGACTTACCTTTATTGTTTTGTCTTTGACTAACCTTTTGACTATTGAGTTAAACAATCTGATTGTGATCAATATTGATGAGAAATTGCGAATCATTTGAAATTGTTTTTACATTAAAAGCTTGATGGACTGCGATGAAATCATGATTACAATCACATTTTTTTGAAATTAATTATTAATTCTTTACATTAAATTTTCACTTTTCCTTTTATCAATCAATTTATCATTTTCAGATCATTTTCATCATTTCTGTGAAATGAGTCTGTAATAGATGAAGATGAAAATTGAGGATAAAAATGTTGAAATAATAAAATTGTGACTAAAAAAGGCTAAACTAGTTTCGTCTAATCAGTTTTGTAAACTCTTGTTTCCTTTTTTTTCAGGTTTAATATCATGAATCATGATGATGTTAGTGATAATGATTGTCAAAATCCTTGAGCATTGAAACAAGTTGCGAGAAAAGTGAAAACTTGAAATATTGAAAATGAAAAGAGGAAAATTGCCTTTTCTTAATTTTACCAGAAAATTTTGTAACCAAATTGATTCAAAATTTCAACGTCAATCCATATTGACTAAATATATCAAATGTATTACAATTGTCAGACTAATAATCAGTAAATTGTACTTTCAATTTGAAATAAAAGTAAATTGAAATTGAAATTGAATTTACACTTGAAGTGATAAAACCGGTTATCAAGCATTTAGCATAGTTGAATGATTCATATTGGTATTAATAGCGTTAATTGTAATCAACATTGTACGAAGAGAAGTGCAATTTAAATGAGAAACAAGGAATCAGACAATGTGCTTGTTGAGAAAAGGGAAAAATTAATTATTCTGATGACGGTATTCATGTTGAGATGAAGCTGTTCATTACCAACAACTAATTGTAAGTGACTAGCCTTAAGTGATTATTGCATTGAATCCAGAATTTTAGATTAGCCATTTCAGGTGATGAGATTTTCTGGGTTGATTGAAACGTTAAATTATTAATTTGATTTAGAAAATAAAAAAACAGATTTTCTAGTTTTTCAATTCTTTTTTTTTGTCATTTTCAAACTTCCACAAGATTACAATATTTTATAATAACTATATTGTTATTAAAATTGTATATAAATTATTGTTTTAAATAGATTTGAATGTATAATTGTTGGTGTTGGTGATGTTGGATGGAGTTTGAATCCCTTTAATTGGTTCCGGGATTGACAGAGATTTAGTGATGAAAAAGGTAAAGAAGGAAAAAACTAAAGTCAAGATTGAATAAGAGTTATGATGAAGAATAATGTTCATCGAGAAACATGGTTGATTCAAATACGTGATTCAGTAATTTTTTTTCATTGGCTAATAAAAACAGATGTAATGCAAGACAAAATTTAGGTTATTCAATCCCATCATGAACGCTAATAAAAGGTAATGATATTAATAGAGATAATAAATAGTCCAAGAAAAAATAATAATAATTGTAATGATAATTGTACGAGACAAGAAAAATAAAGTAAAATTCCTAATAAAATGGTTCATAATTTTGCCCTTTTTGCATCACATACATTTTCAATTGCCAATTGACAGATCACATGAAATAAGGAAAAGAAACAAATCGAAGTGAACAATTTGTAAAAAATTAGAGCAAGAATTGAAATTGATGAGAATGTAATTAGAAAACAATTAGATTTGAAGAAATACAAAATATGCATTTGCAAGTTGACAAGAAATGTGATTAGACACTTTTTTTAGAAAAAAAACATTCTGAGTTACAATGATGGGATGAAGGGAAAAGGCGAGTAAATCAAATGCAATTTAGTTTAATCTAAATATGAATCTGATTTAGCCTCTGAATTAGCATCCAAAATACTGTGTCAGTCAAGGTGATTTAGCAACAAAAATTTGTGAAACCAAGTCTAATCAATGGTTTGGTAAATTTTGGTGAAAATTGTTTGAATAAAGGAGTGAGTTTGAGGCGATTTGAGATACGGTCAAAGGGAAACAGGTAAAACAGCATGAGTTAAATGATAAACATAAATGGGAGTGATAGAGAGATGGTAAAGATGAGTAGAGCTGAAGATTGGAAGATGAGGAGCAAAAAGATATCATCGACTAGCCCAAGAAGACAACCATGAAAAAAAATTTGTGTGAGTGTTTTGTAAACACTAGTTGAGGGTTGGAATAGGAAGTTACAAGATGATTTAACAAGGATTAATTTTGCGATTACACAAGGCAAATTACAAGGACATTTCAAGTTGGTGAATGATTAAAAAGATTAATTTTGATGATAGAGTGAGGCTGTTGGTGCTGATGATCATGATTATGAGGATGAGAATGATGAAAGTATACAAACACAGAGACACACAAGGAAACAAAAATTGGTAAATATATTGATTATAGTGAGAATGGTTTTCAAGTGAAACTAGCAAGACGGGAAAAATGAACAATTTAGTGGCGTATTAACATTGTAAATTGAGTTGTTGTAATGAAATTTTTGCCGAGCCAGATTGAGAGGCGAGATTGAAGACAAATGGTTAAGAAAAGTGAATGGTTAATATTAATAGCGGAAAGAGGAAGTTTTAATTGAACAAATCTCAAGTTAATTTGTTCAAATTATAAGCTGGTGTCTAAAATTTTCTAGTTTCCCGCTTTGCGTCCCACATGAAAACATATGGAGGGTAAATTTGAGGAGGAAAATGAGCTAAGGGTGTGGATAAGGGGAGGAAAGTGATTAGGTTGTACCTCTGGTTAAAATGGTATTGCTGTTAGCAATGATAGCAATAGAGATAATGTATTAGCTGAATAATACATTGGGAACACATAAAGGTTTGTTTGTTTGAATACGTTTTGTTTCATCACATTATGATGGTTAATCGATATTAATTGTGAGGAATGAAAATGTGATTAGAAGTGTTAAATAAGTTTAGATGAAAGTAAACTCATTTGTACCAAAAAAATGGTGATTCTCGTCTTTGTTATTTTTTTCTTTTCCATGATAAATAATTGATAGAAAAAAAGGCACAAATTATATGTTTAAAACTAATATGGTGAAGAGTGAAATTGGAATGACAATTAGTATGGGAGGAAAAAGAGTGATCGCCTATCAATTTGAAAATGAAACAAAACGACTTCGAATCGACCTTTTAATGAAATTTTCATTTCATCAATTGTTTATGAAGTTTGACTTGAAATTAGCCTTTTGTGATCCATTCATTACTGGTTAATTTTCCTGAGTAAATTAATTTTTAAGACAATTTTCTGTCTTAAAGATTATTCTTTGGTCCCTTTTAAGGTAGATTTTTTACAATCAGATCTATTCTTGTTGGTCCTAATTTTTAGCCTTTCTGGAAGCAATTGATTTTTCCCTGAATTTCAGGTTAACCAATTGATTGGAGAAGATAAAATTTGAAGAAAAAAATGCAAGAACGAAAAATTTTGTGACAATTTATCAATTTCTTGATAGACTGTCTTGGAGCAAAAGAGAGGGTTAAGTATTTTTGGAATGATATGGGAATGGTAGGCGTCAAATGATTGCTCCTATGAGAAGGCGGCGGTCAAAATTAAGGTGAACATGATTGTGAATGATGTTGTGACCATCGAATGGGTTAGATAGGGTGAAGCATTACAAGCATCAGTTGCACAATGGCAGGAGACTATTTTAAGTCCGTTTGTTCCTACGCGAGTGGTACATCGGTTATCATCGGATCTGGATTCCTCTAAATATCCACAAGTTCGTATCACTCGGACATTTCCTTCAACTAAGTAGCAGCAATTGAATAGTGAAGCAGCAGCAATAAGAGAAACCAAATTGATTGTATATGAAAAAAGAGAAGGAAAATTAGTTAATAATTGATCAATAGAAAAGTTAATTTAAAAAGAAATGAATAGTTAATTACAGAGAAAGTAGTTATTAAAGCTTATTAATTATTCTTGACTTGTTATTAAACTGTTACTCCTTCAGTTTGATTGTGTTTTACTGTTTTCATGGTCAACAATGGGTTACGCGCATCCAAATTATCATTGTATGAACAAATTTGGTTAATTTTTGTTTTGAATCAAGTTGAAAGTCACCTTCACTTTTTTGCTTCCATTCATATAATTCAATGATCATTCAGGTTTTTTTTCATCTCTATTTGGGTTAACTTAAACTGAATAAAATTGATGATGAACAATAAAGTTTTACCTTTAAACTATTACTATTATTGATTATTATTATTATAACAATCATAGTTGTGTAAAAATAAAGCAGAGCAAGAACAGGTTCAAGCTTATCTAAGCTAATCTACTGTTGTTAGTTTGGTCATGATGATAATGATGTTACAATTGTTGTATTAAATTTACTGAAATATTGAAATATACTCAGCATTTTTCAGATTCACCAACGTGTTTAACTTGGCAAAAAAGTGATAATAAATGGGTAAAATTAAAGAGCAAAAGTGATTGATTGCAATCATTTCAATATTTGTGCATATTCATTGAAAAGTTTAACTCAGCGGATCAATAGGATAATATGATTTTACCAGAAGTTATTCAAGCAGATGAATATTAGGGGAAAGGAAACAAGGTATTATACCAGAAATATTGGTTCAATTTAGGGTGCAATAGAAAGTAGACTAAATGGAAACACAATTGAATATTGAAGTTTTCATGGAAGAAGAAGATGAAAAGAGGTCATCAATAGCCAACAGAGTGGAAGAAGAGGGGTAATGATGATGATAAGAAATGATATTTGTGAGAAAATGAAAAAAGATATGAAAAGAGATGGACTTAGTCAATCCTGGTTAATGATGGATGAGAAACCTTGCAAGTTAAGGGTAAACATTGATCGGAAGTTGATCTTGTAAGTAAATGTATTGAAACAATATGAGATGGACTTGGTTGCAGATAAAATTTGTGAAAGCAAACAAATCATAAATCATTGTTTATCACTGAAAAGTGATGAAAGCTGTAATTGATGGAGATAATTAGTTGACTAGAAGATAATAAACTCGCTGAAAGGTAAACAAAATGGATTGAATCAATTTTTGCGCTTTTCAATAAACCTTTTTTTTGCCCATCGTTGTAACCGAAACCCATTGTTGAAATGAAAGTAGATAAACTTTAAGGTTAGTTGAAGGAAAAAAGGTATTCAAATTAGCTCTAAGTGGTGATGTTAATAAGCTTTTTTGATCACTATTGTTTCCTGTTTTCTTGAGTAGTTGATATTGTTTGGAAGTTAATATTACTTTTTTCTATTATTTTCCGGCAAAATTGAGTTGTCTTATTGCCATACATGTTTCTGATCATCTCGTATTTAGGGCTAGCTGAGCAGTTCATTTTTGCAAAGGGTTCCATTAAGAATGGATCGCTACAAGCAGCATTTATAGATGATTTGCAATCCCAACATTCCAATGAGAAAACTGTGAATGAAAAATTCATCAGGTTATATGGAAAAAGAAGAAAGAAGAAAAGATTGAAATAAAGAAAAAAAAGATGACAAATAAAAGGTTGTATGAGAAAAGAGAGAGAGAGAGAAAAGAGCGAAAACGGGAAAGAGAGGGAAAAAAGGTCCTCTCTCTTTTCTTACACCCCCAACAGCCGAGCCCAAAAAAGAAATGGATTCAAGCTTCTGTACATGTTGACTGTGCATGTATAGAGTATGCAGTGTATGTATTCAGTGTATGCATTCTGAATAAATGTGTGAATATATTTATGTACTGTTTCCCATCTTCAAGTATTGATGGATATAAAATTTTGAAACCATTGAAACTATTAGGGTAAATTGATATGAATAAAGTTTCCACTTACCAGTTGAGAGTTCAATCAATAATACGATTACTTTTAGGGTATTCATTTAGAGTTGAGATTTTTTTTTACTTGAGAGTCTCTTGAAGTTAATATTACACAAAATTAAGCACAGTTTATAAATATATCAGAAACAATATGTAGATATTTATATTAAGATATAAATGTTGAAGATGGAGAAGTTTCTTTGTTTGATAATTAATTAAAGTGAAGGTAGAAAACAAATTAAAACAAATTGTTGAACATGTTTTTTTTAATCGGCAGTGACTGAAAAACAACTGAGCTAATAATGTATGGAAACTCCTGAAAAAAAGGTTCAATTCAAACAGTGAGAGAGAAGAGAATTGATAACTTAGCTGAGCTTGGCTTGAGCCAGCTCGAGCTACACAGCCATTTAATGGCTGCTTATGGCTTGATTTGCTTTTAATCCAATAAAATTAACTAAATGATTATATTTCTTGGTTTAAGCAGAAATTTAAAATTGGCCGTTGGCAAGTGTGAAATATTCAAATTTTTCTCGCTAGAGTTAAATTAAGTTACTTAAAAAATTTTAACTCGAATCAGCTTAAGCTGCTTAGCTCACTTCAGCTCAACTTATAAATAGCTTAGTTTGACTGTCTTCGGTATCTAGTCACGATTAATGTTTCATGTTTTCACGTTAATTTTTCATTTAAAAATATGTTCGGCATCATTTTTTGTTTATATTTTACTAGTGTCGGTGCCCACAATTTAGCCGCAAATAAACCAACGAACGCGTCATATAGTGTAACCCCGTCATCTTTAGCTGTCGATGGAGATCCGTATACCTGTTACCTGTCAAAAGACGCAAGATATAATTTTTTTCAAGTTTTTCTTGGACGAATTCATCTAATTAGTTCCGTGCAAATTCAACTGGAAGAAGAAAAGCTTGAAACCTACAAAAGAATTTCTCCCGGAATCTCCGAAGTCTGGATAACAATTAGCAAGAATAAACATCACACTCGTAAATGTGGTCCCTTTCTGGAGTTTCCCAGGAGTTTAATGAATTTTACATGCGACCCACCATTGGAAGGTTCGACTATAATGATAAATATGATCTCGAAAAGACCGAATAAAATGGTTCTGTGTGAAGTTAATGTTGAATCTCCAGAAGTTGAGTTGATCAATTTAAATTCAACTCACAGTCCACTTCAGATCCTTCCAGAAAAGTCTCAGTCATCATCGGAATTCACTCCAAGAAGCTTAGATGATGGAATATTCACTTTTTGTATTTATATTTTAGTGATTGCCCTTTTACTTTTTACAATCATAGAAGGTTTTATTATAATTCTAAGACGCTGATATTGTATTGTTTCATCGATAATTTTGTACATTAAATTATTTTTTTACTGAAGACAACTTAATTTTATTTGATTTACAAAAATATTTTGCTTGGTAATATTGAAGAAGATAGACGAGAGATAGAATATTCCGTAATGGTAACCTTTACTTGTCTTGATTGAACAAGTCGATAGTGCCATTGAACCTATGCTTTGATAATTCAAAATTGACTAGCAAAAAAGCGCGCTAACAAAATTTAATTATTCAATGTTTGCAAATTCAAAATTTATAATCTCACTGTCGCGATTGATTTGGTGTAATCTAACAGTCAAATGGAGATTTCACACAAACAGAATTATCTAATCAATGAATATAAAAATACAATTGTCTTAAATTGAGTGCAATTCGAAGATTCGAGCATGAGTAATTCAACATTGAAAGCGAGAATCCGATCATAGAGATTTTGAAAGTTTTTTTTCAAGCGTGAAGACGAATGAAATATTTTATTGATTTAAACGGTTTCCCGTTTAGTGTCATGCATCACATCATTCAGGTCTGGCATTTTCTTTCATAATGCGCTTCTTAAGATGTTCCTTGTAAGCTAGAATACCCTTAGTCCATTTGGTGACAGTTTGGTTTTCACAAATCCAAATTTCTTTAGCAACCTAAATTGAAAATAAAAAATGCGTTAAATTTAAATATAAGCAAATGAAGGATTCGAGATCGAAGAAAAAAATGTTTACCTGACTGATAAGCCTAAAGTCGTGACTAACAAGCATCAAACCACCATCGAAATCGTTGATAGCATCAGCAAGAGCATCAATTGTTTCAATATCCAAATGGTTAGTAGGTTCGTCCAGAAGCAACATGTGAGGGACTTGCCAAGCTAACCAAGCAAATACAACTCTACAACGTTGACCATCTGATAATTGTCTAATTGGACAGATTTGTTGACGACCTGTTAAACCATAGCGACCGATAATTTTTCTCATTTCTTCTCTTTCCTTTACCTCTGGAAATGCTTTCAACATGTAGTCTAATGCTGATAAATCCAGGTCTAACAGTTCATGAAGATGTTGATGATATCGGCCTAACCGTAGATGAGAATTTTTACGAATAAGTCCATCATTGGGAACTAATTCTCCATAAATCAATTTTAAAAGGGTTGATTTACCGGCTCCATTGGGACCAACTAAAGCTATTCTCGAGTCAAGATCAACTCCAAACTCAAGATTTTTGTAAATCCATGGTCCGTCTTCCTTATAACGGAAGGACACGTTTTGAACCATTATCACAGGCGGAGGTATACCTCCACAAGACGGAAAGTAAAATGTCAACGTTTTATCTGAAACTACTTTTTCTGTTAATCCTCCAGCAACCATTTTAGCTAAAGTTTTTTCTTTACTTTGAGCTTGTCGAGCAAGTTTAGCACTTCCATGACCAAAGCGAGCTATATATTCCTACAAAATAAAATGAAAATTTAATTAAAATCCTGCTTGATAAATGTAAACCCTTTTAATGCAAAGATAAGAGGTCAGTTTAAAATCGCTTCACCGTTGTAAGCACAGCAAGTAATGAACAAAATTAGTATTAGGTAAACTACGAGCTCAGACTCGGCATCCAATTCATCATTATATAATAATATACACATATATATGAACAACAATGGAATTTTTTACTTACTTTCATGTGAGCTATTTGAGATTGTTCCCAATTGTAACGTTTCATTTGATTTTCCAGCAGTTCTAATCTGGTTTTAACGAAGGCATCATAGTTACCACCATAATAGTGCAACTTTAGGCTATAAAGATGGATTATATTAGTACAAACGCCGTTCATGAAATCCTGGGAATGAGAAACCATAACTAATATCCTTTTGTAAGTTTTCAATTCTTCTTCAAGCCAGACACAGGCATCCAAATCAAGATGATTAGTTGGCTCATCAAGAAGTAAAAGATGTGGTTTAACATAAAGGGCCCTTGCTAAGGCGATTCTCATACGCCAACCTCCAGAAAAATCTTTACAAGCTTTAGCTTGCATTTCTTTATCAAAACCTAGACCATGAAGAATATATGCTGCTTTTGCTTGAGCTTTATCAGCGCCAATTTCATCCAATCTTTCGTAAATATCCATCAACTGATCTTGAGATTCCTCATCATCATTTTGAATTAGCTCTTCAGCCAGCTTTTCCAACCTTGCCCTTTCTTGATCAACATCTAAAACTGCCTCCAGAGCTGACTTATTAGAGGGAGGTATTTCACGAGTTAAATGATAAATATCGATTTGTTCAGGAATAGGGATTTCTCTTTTTCCGATTGCTGCTAAAAGAGTACTTTTACCGGAACCATTCAAACCAATTAGACCATAACGACGACCACAATTGAGTTCTGAAATAGAACGAAAAAATGAGAGAATAAGATTTTTTTCAACAAACAAAAATAACTTCAAAAGGGAATCACAATTGAAATTAAAGTTGGATATGTATTAATAATCAGATTACTTGTATAAACGAATAAACTAACCTAATTTAGTATCAGTCAAAATTTCACATCCATGAAATGTTAATGAGAAATTATCAATCTTGATATCTCTGGATCTAGGATGGACTCCAAGAACACCAGTACAGGAACGGTATTCGGCATTTAGGTCCATGTCTCTTTCGATTTTCTTAATAATCTCTTCTTCATAATTACCATCATCGCCTTTACCAGAATTTGTAACACCATTAGTTTGAGGAGCATCAGCTTTCTTGGTACCTTCTCTTGCTTTGGCTTGTTCCTTTTTTTTAGCTTCACGTTTCTTTTTACTGTCAGACGGCATATTGATTAACTAAGGAAAGAAAACAGTTAATTCAACAAAATATAATAAACGAACAAACGAGAAACACCGAAAGGTGCAATTAAATTCACAATTAATTAAACAAAACTAACACAAACCAAAATTTAACAAAACGTATCGAAGCATGGGCCCTAACATGCAACAATCGTAGTATAGTAGCACCATCTAGAAGAAACCGATTCAACAACAATAAGGCGAGTAATTCAATTTCTTAAATTATCTCATCAATAACAATTTATTAATTGTTGAATCTAAAATTAGAATTTATTTCTTCTTTTGAAAATTAAAAAACAATTTTGACAAGATCCTACTTGGAACAAAACTTAAAAACTAACTGAGGTCAGTAGAAAAGATGATAAAAACCAAAAGACCAATGTTTTTTGGTTAATCTCAACAATTGTCATCAATTTATAAATCCATTCATTTTAAAAATGTTAGTAAAATTACTATTCAGAGTAGAGATAGAAAGTGTAATTTAAATCACGAACCTACAAATTCAATGTTACCTCCATTATAAACGAATTTCAAATAATCGCGTGTCGATTTAGTCCATGACATGGATCATCTTGAGTTTAATTTATCAAATTGGATCGATTATGTAAAGGTAAGAATTATTTGAATCAAATTATGGTTAGTTAACGATGCATAGTTACAGAAAAATTATTTCAAAATTACTTTCTTACCTTTTACAAATTGCTGCCTCAGTCATTTTACGGGAAAACAATTTCTCCAATCAAACATATTGGCTGAAGCAACTCGTCTGGAAGTTCAAAGGTGAGCCTCCAAACATCCTGTGTTTAAGATTGACCATGTAAATTGGCTTTAACTGATTTAATTAATTGTAAACTATGAAGGAAATAACATTTTATCATAAACAGTTAAGATGAACTACAGAAAAAATATTTTGTTTATTTGTTATTGTCAATGCTGTTAACTGTTTGCACCAAAGATTAATATAATCTTTGGTTTGCACAGCCGATAACAGTGAATAAAAAATACTTAAGATGGAGCCACTAGCCACAAAAATATTCGTGTTGAGGATTAGAAGAGATTAACGATGTAAATGAGAAATGATGATGATGATGAAAAGTAATTAACAGTGTAATTAATCAATTCACCCTACATTTTTCATGAAATGTTTGTTTGTTGAAAGAGCATGACAAAAATTTTCTTGTTAAAAGGCTTAATCAGTAAATATTGTGTTTTTTCTTCCATTGTTGGTTTACTCGTTCTTCAACAAATTAACAGAAGGTAACTATTTAAATTATTTTTTCCATATTTTAAGGTAATCTAATACAATTTTTGCTCTTGTCCTTTGCTTCAATATTGTTAATTCAATTGAGCTTGGCTTGATTTCTATTTATATACTCAATATTAACGGGTCAACTGTAATTTTAGCAAAATATTGTGTTAGGCATAATCTTACATATAGACTCTTTGTTAATGATCTTTATCAAGCAACTGACCGTGCTAATTATGAGCTACTAGCTTTTTCTCATTTTACATCAATTTTTCAATTTATCTTTTTTAGCTTCTTAAACTACTCAAATGGCTGGTCATTTAATATCAATGAACAGATTAATCTATTAATGATTTGGACAATGGAAACCTAAAAACAAGCCACATAACTGCGTCATCTATAGTTACCAGCTTTACCACATGGCAATTTGCATAGAATTAACATTTTCTCTTTCTGTTCACTTTGGTGTCAAGACAATGGAACCAGGCTTAAGATTTCAAGGGTTAATAGCAGTCATTCATGAGGCCAGTAAATTATCCACAACTAAGCCTGTTAACCAATCTCACTGTTCAAAAAAAGGATCCTTCAATGATAGTCAACTAAAATAGGATAAATCTTGCTTTGTTGACATGGACCCACTTGGCCAGGTGACTGCCACTAATTAAACCATGTTTAACCATCAACCTTAACACCTTTACTTTGTGACCCAAAACAGTAATTTATGTAATCCTGTTGAATCCATTTATGCGATTGTTTTGAAGCCGGTATAGCCTGAGATGACTTGGAAATGGGCTTTATCAAAGCTTAAGGAATTTGCCATCCAGTTAATATAATGTACAACACAGGAATGGAATCTTGAGTTTATCAAAGCAAAGGTAATTATTTACATACTCTATAATATATCTATGTAATCAGTTAACTTTTCAAACTGTTAATCAATGAAGTTCTATTTTCTTGTTTCTCATCCCCCTCTTTTCTAGAAAAGTGAGTAAAAAATGATTTCAAATTATGGTGAATGAAGCTGAATCCATCCTCAAACATTTCTCCCTTTGATATGCTGTTACCGTTAATGGTTATGCTCATTATGAAGAGTGTGATGTTGATTATGATGATGAGACAACCACATTATGTGATCCAGATTAATGCGCTAAGATAATGGTTTTATTTTCCACATTTCGGGTCAATGGATGTGTAAATGAATAAATAAATGAATGAGTTAAGGTGGGGTGAGAATCATTTACACCAAAGGTGAAATATAAAAGCCAAAGAATTTCAAGGTAAAATGCTTGATAATAGTAATAATAATAATAATAGCAATAGTATTATTATTATAGTTACTATTGCCACAGCTACTACTACTACTGTTATTTGTAGATTAACAAAATAACAGTAAACTACTAAAAATTATAAAATAATTGTTCAACATATCAGAAGTAAATGATTCCTTGTTCGTATTACCTTTTTTTACTCATTATCATCATAATCATTATAAATTCATCTTAACATCATTACCTTCTTTTTTACCATTTATTCCTATTTTTACACAGAGTTGAGTTAAATAGGAGATGGAGAGATCCTTTTAACTTGATAAATGAGCTGATAATTTGAAATCATTTCAAGAGGCAATGTTTAACATTGTTTAGAAGTTAACTGTACTAACTTACGCAATTTTTCATTCTATTTTTTTCAGGCTCTTCCAAAGCTTTCCAATATATTGGAGGGATTGAAATGAGGATTTACTTGAATGGATTGGGCCAACATTTTTATTATCATCTAACCTCAGCCAAATCAAGTCATTGTATTTAACTGCAAGACCAAGGAAATAAAAAGAAACAAGTAGACAAAAAATGTCAAACCATCGGACTTTCACAAAGCAGGACACTCAGTGGACAAGTCAAAATTAAGAAAGATAAACACTAAATAGATAAAGGAGTGACAACAACAAAAAGCTTTCCCTTTTTTTCTCCGAGATTGTTTCTTCTTCTTCCACAACTTCTCCTTTTGATGATTGCCATAAATCAACCGGAAGCAACATCCATTACAGTATCAAGATTGAAATTTGTGTCTCATCACTGAATTAAACAACGATTCAGTCTCTCCTTCTCTCCCTAGTTTCATTTCTATCCATACAACTTCATATCAACCTCATAAGCGCATATCTTTGTCGTGTGAGTTACTCTTCTTTCCTTGCCCATCTCCTTTTCATAGGCCTAATCTCTTTTACTTCTCGTGCACGAGTTTTTATTCCTTTTTCATATTCCTTTTTTTTCTTCATCTAAAAGCCTAATTCGCACTTCCCTCTCCATAAATCAAATCGGGTTAGGTTTTCTTATGCACGCAACCTTCTTCTTCTTTCTTCTTCTCCCTTTGGCTGTTCTTTTTTTTCATCTTTTTCCATTATTTTCAGACAATTCTGCCTTCTATAGAATTCTTTTTCTTCTTTTTTTCATTTTACAGGCTCTAAAGAAAGTTAAAAGCTCTTAAAGAGAGGGAAAGTCTTCCATGAAAACAAAGCAACACAAAGAGGAAAAAGAAGCAACACCAATGTAATCACCATTATAATTGGCTTGTTTATATCGATGATGATATTGTTGAAAGAGTTGGAAAGGTCAAACGGCTAACTAAAGAAATCGAGAGAAAAGGGAAAAAGAGAAGGAAAAGTTTATTTATTTACCAAAACCAAAACACTGTGTTTTATTAACAATTACAACACCAACAAACAGCAATCAACAATCAACAACATTAACTTATAATGGTCTTGGATGTTTAACTAGTCTACACCAAGAAAAGATAAATTTGCCAGGTTAAAAGTCAATTTTTTCCTTCATTTAACCCTTCACATCTTTAGTAGTTGTAATAATACTATTGCCTGCTATTCCAGTGATGATAATAATATTATTAGTTACAACTAATATCTTCAAATCAGACAACAATTGAAAGGTTAATAATCTTTTCACAATTAAGATTACTGTTTATTTTGATATTATTTTGTTTTCCCTTGAGAAAGCAATTTAATCATCTTTTATTTTTACCTAGCTAAAAGGTAAATCGAGTAAAGATCAAGTGTTAGCTGAATGTTGAACTAATCACACCAAGAATTGATTAGAAATCATTAACTAATAATACAACCTTTTAGTATCAAAAAATATTTTGATGGATGTTTTGGTTAAACGCAACCAATTCAACCTTTGAACCCAATTCTCATCATTTTTTATTTTTTCTCTTCCCAATTAGATCATCATCTTCATCATCACTCTCACCAAAACTATTACAATTCAACAGAGTCATTGATCATCTCAACCAACATTATTATTAATTCATTATTTTTTTCAACATTTTTTTTCTTTAATACATTGATTTACAAAGTACACTTTACATGCATTTCAATGTTAACCAATTGATGCATGTTAAAGTGACAAACATCATTTAAATCAATTGAAGGACATAATAAATGTTGAAAAATTTAATTATTCACAATCGGATAATGATTAATATTTTAATTCAATGTTCATCTAAATGAACATTGAGTGAGAGAAGACGAATTGAAAAGAAAGAGAAGATTTTTATGTGAAATAAATGATGTAAACTTGTTAAACTGTTATTGATATAATCATTAATATTATTGATGAGTATCTTTTATCTTCCCATTTAGCTGCAGCTTTCAATGTTAAGCGCTACTCTGCCAACCAAAAGGATAACTGGATCTATTATCATGATAATCTGTTAATCAACTTGCTTTTACTGATTAATTGAATCATGGTTGGTCTCTTGATTGCAAAGGAAACCCGTCTGTTTATTAATCAACTTTCAAGCGTAAAACAAAAGACAGGGAAATTGAAAAAAAGAAACGAAAGAAAATCAATTTTTTCATTTTACATTTTTCTCTGAATAAATTATTAAATGCAACTGGCAAAGTAATTTATCAATTGTGATGTTGATTTAGACATTGAAAGAGCCATTTGATTGAAATTACATGGAAAGTCGATCAAAATTTTCTCCCTTTTTCTGCTTCTATTTTATTATATGGATAAATATACAAACGTCTCAAGAGCTTTTCATCATATCTTCATTTTCATCTTAATGTAACCTTTTCCCCTTCATCTTGTTCCATTGCCTGACAAGAATCCGAATTGAACTTTTATATATTCAGGTGAAATGCGGTGAAATTAGTCCCAAATCATGTTTGGTTTTGTTTGATTATTACTATTAAATTGATTTTACTGTTGCACTTTTTTCATTTAAAAGCAAACAACATGGAAACTTAGTTCATTTTAATTCAATTGGGAAAAACAAAATGCTGATAAATTGAACTTTCAGAGATTTCTTTGAATAAGAATTGAAGAGTTGCATGAGCAAAGGGAAAGAAACTAAAACTCAGGAATGAATAGTGGGAGGTTTAATTCCTGCCTTTGATCAATGCCAATGAAAAACAAGACAAAAGTTCATATCAAGATAACCTGAAGATGTTGAGATGCAACAAAAGAAACAACAAAAAGTGCAATTGAAAACAAAAACTAATAACTTTTCTTTAAACTGAAAAGGCAAGAATGAAAATGGAAAAGGAGGAAAAGAGGAAAAAAATTCAAGAATTAACCTTTAAACGAAAGTTCTGTTTTTGATTTTTAGATGGTGAAACAGAAAAACGTTGAGATGAAAAAAAGGAGGAAGATAATGATGATTAAAGAAGATGCATAATGAAAATGTATAGAGAAGTTGCAGAATGACAAAATGTTAAAACATGAGATGAGCAAATTTCTGTGCTGAATGGTGAGGAAGGGAGGATGAAAAGAGCCGATTGAAGGAGTACAATGACGGAAAACAATTGAACATGTTAATGTCCATGAATTGAATGAAAAGTGATAGAAGTAATTTGACTTTTTTTGTTCATGTTTTTTGAGACAAAATGAAACAACAGAAGAAGAAGAAAAAAAAAGATTACTTTTTAAATGTTTAGCATTTAAACATGTTGTTCAGTTTAAGGATAAAGATGAGGAGGAAGATGAAGAGGAGGATGAAGAAGGAGGATGAAGAAGGAGGATGAAGAGGAGGATTAAGATATTGATATTTGATACTTTTGTTTTGTTGGTTTGTAAAAGTGAAAAGAGGCCAAAATTGTCAGGAAATTGTCACCAAAATTTGCAATAAATCACGTGATTTTCTGTCAACTAATCAACCTTCTGGAATGATTTGTGTAGCGATAAAAGGCAGGCGAAGAGGATAGAAAGTGAAAGAGAAAGGATGAAAGAGGAATAATGAAAGGATGGAGAAGATGAGGAGAAAAGATGAAAAATGAAGAACGGTTGTTTTTGGTCTCTTGTAAGTGCAGTGTACGATGAAAATGATGAATGATGAATTTCTTCATTTTTCTCTGACGTGAGGAAGAATATTCCATCATCTTTGTTGACGAGAAGTGAAAGGGAGTAAACTCTGGTCATCATAATCATCATCAAAATGAAAATGAAAATGGAAGAAAAGCGAGAGAAAAAAATGTTATATTCAATGTTATTCCGTTGAATCTTTACCATTCAGGTTCACCCTTTTCCCTGTTATTATATTGGGCGTTTTTTCATCTTGTACGCCTGTTTGGTGTCATGACTTACGAATGGAAACCTCAGATTCGAACCATGAGTTTTTGCAGATTGCACAACTGTGAGTTCGTACGCTTCAGGTCATTCCGTTATTTTACCTCTAACATGACATTTGAATTTCATTTTCTGATGATGCAAAATTTTTCAGATTGATTCATATTTGCCACAAATTGAAAACTTACATCATTGGAAAGATAAAAGACAATTTTCTCAAAACCAATTGATTAACCGAACGGTATTGAAACACTTTTATCTTTTGACCAGTATGAGTGATGAACATGCACCAGACAGCAATCAACCTGAAAAAGTTAGACCTACTTTTGCACTTCGTCGAGTTTCGATTCGATTTCTTCAATTGCCAATTGACTTGATCCAACTCGCAAATTAGCTTAAAGTGATATTTTAGATTAAATTTCATCTTTTCAAGGAAGATTGAAAATCATGAATTATAATGATCAATAGTGTTAATAACTATTTCACAAGAGGTGTAGTTTCAGAAGGGTGACTGTATCAGAAAGTGTCATTCAAATGTCAGAGGCCAGATAACGGAGTGATCTTGAATGAACTTGACCGTTCGGACTCATAGTTGTGCAATCTACAAAAGCTCATGGTTCGAATCTGAGCGTGGACCATTCGTGAGTTATGACACCAAACAGGCGTACAGGATAAAAAACCGCCCAATATTATTAAAATCTGAATCTTCTTCTTTGCCTCCTCCTTTTCCTCCTTCTCCTCCTTCTCAAGAAAAGAAAGGAAAAGAAAGAAGAAAACAGCCCGTTAGCTTCTCAAGGAAAGAAGACAAAGAAGAAGAAAAAAAACTATCGGTTTATCGATTTTTTTTTCATCTTTTTTTCTTCTTCTCTAGCTGATCCCATGGTGAGAGCAATGATGATGAAAATGATGATGAAAATAACAATCGATTGTAGATTGATACCAAATTTATCATTCTAAACGAATCTTAAGCCAATTCATCATTCCTCGTCTTCTTAATCTTCCTCTTCATCTTTCAGATTCCCCTATAAAAGCTAATATTTTCACTCTTTTCCCATAAATGTAATTGTTTTTTGTATTCCTTCATCTCCATCATATTTACATTTACAGAGATTCAACTTTGCCAACTTTTTTGCTTCTCTCCTTCCCTTCATATTAGCTTTCAATAAAAATTCATATTCACTCAGTCAATCGATAATCTAGTCCAACAGTTGAAACTGAGTGTTCCCCAAACAAATGAGAAAAGTCTCTTCATCTTCTTCCTTCTCTTCATTGGTACATTTATTTTGCCATTTTGCAAAGTGATAAACTAATTAGAGAAGCAACTTAATTAGTAAATGATTAAAGGCGAATGTCGAAAGGCGCCAAAATGATTCTTTTACCATAATAATACAAATGATATATTAGATGAGAGAAAAGGCCTGAGGAAGAAAAGGAATTCAAGACATTTATCTTTCAAGAAGATAATGATGATAATAATGAAGGTTACATTAATGATTTTACACAAGCACAGTTAACATTATCTGAATTATGTGAAGCAAGACTCATACTGTGAGAAGTCAATTGATCCAGAAGGAAATCAACACCGACACTAATGATGATCATTGAGAAAGTGTTGCTTTTCATCATCACCATCATCAGAATAATTCATTTGAATTGGAAAAACATTTTCACCAGTTGAACCAATTTTGATTGTTGCTATTTGCAGAGTTGATGATGGAAACGAAATGAAGAGAGAACAAGAAATAATCAGAAAAGTGTTTTCTTCTTCTTTTTCATGTTCATCAAAAAAATGTCAAAATGTTAGTAAATAAAGTTGAGTAAAGTTTAAATATGCACATAAATAAATGCCTTATTGTTCAGTGATGATCATTTTCGCGACAAATCTGTTCAAAGTTTATTCGCAAATTTGCTGTCTTACCTGTTGACAGGTCAAGCGAGGTAAAAGGGTGATTTAAGATTTATTTGCATCTCAATGATCAAGAGTGTATCATGAAATGTTGAAACAGAAGAAGAAAAAGGTTGAAAGGAGAAAAAATTTTATTGTCAAAAGGTGATTCAAAGTAATGATGAGTTGAATCACCAAATGGATCAACAATTATTCCAACCATTTAATCGGGATTGTTAAACAAACTGAGAAATGATAGGAAATCAAGGAATTTGTTCACCTTTCTTCTTCTTCTTCTGATATTCCAACAAGTTTAGTGAAGTGCCGATTGACCGCTTAACCGTGAACCTGTAACTACACAAATGAAAATAACGTAAATTTGAATGCAAGAATAAGGTGACTATCAAATAACTAATGCAACTTTTGTTTTGTTTCAATGATAATGATGAAAAGGGCATCAAATGTAAATCATGTTTAATGATTTAAAACAAGAATTTTGATAAGTCAAGTGATTTAGTTAATGGCTCATAGTAATTGACTCTTGAATCAATTTTAAACATCTGTGTGAGTAAAAATAGAATCCATTTTTTGTGCTGTTTTTTGTCTGAAATGGAAACATCAGTTTTGTATTGTATTAAATGTTGGTGAATTTACTCCCAGAGAAGTGGTGATATTGATATCCACTGATAATCTGAGCATTAAATGGTTTATTGTTGAGGTAAATGCTGTTACCACGTTACAAGTTTCACGATATTTGAAATTGGGAAGCTTCCTTGTTCCAAATTCAATCGGACATTATGCATTAAATATTAGGGTGTCAAGTATATTTTGCGGTTCGCTATGAAGAAAGATTTGACTGTCATCTTATTCGGTTAAAACATTACTTAGCCTCAATTAATCAGTTTAAAAGATAAAAATCGCAATGGGGCAAATATAATATTTACAAAATTATTGCATTTTTACAGTTTTTGAAAGGGTACAAAAAATCACCAACTTTTTCATAATTTTTCTAGTCGCTCTTAATTCCTAAACTCGGATCTTGAATGTTGCCAATTTATCCTATCGTAAGTACCTGATCTCATCTATGGACCTCAATCTATCTTAATTTTTGGAAAATTCATCACAAGAGAATGTCTACTCAGGAACTGAGGTCAAAAACACTTTATCGATTTTTGTGCTATAAATTTTCTGACCAGCACAAAAACCGTATCAATTTTTCGATGTGAAAAATTAAAACGTTACATAAATATCGAAGGTGTTCAATTTGATTTACCGAAATTTCAGCAAATGCTGAGCAAAATTTCATATCCATCCGCAAAATATAAATGACACCTTAATACAATCCAATCGTGATACAGACTTAAATAAAGTAAAAAATATTATGTAACGTGTTAATGAATTTATTATACTAAGAAAATTTTTTTATCCATTTTTACTTAATGAAATTCATGTTGCATTGAAAGTCATTTTATTGCGGCGAAAATTGCAAGTTGAAAAGATCAAGTCTAAATCAACTTGTTTCGTTGTGGGTTTTAGAATTTTTATAGTTAACTGGTGACGCAGCGATCATGACTGATCACGCATATCTTTTCACTGCGCATGATAAATTCAATCCACATTTGAATGGCTCGAATTCTTAATGAAAACATAATGAACAATGATTTTATGATAAAAAAATAAAATAAAACCTGGTTCAGAAATCCTAAAATCTGAAATCTAGGTTTGAACTTTGAAATTGATTTATCAAAAACCTTCCGAAAA